AGCAAAACGTTGAATATTATTGAATTCGGACTAAAATTACGCCGGCTTTTCATATACCGGTAAATTTTAGAAATGCTTGAAACTTCAATATTTCGAAATTTAAGGACGCTAATTTACTCAAAATTGATACACCCCAGCTTACAATGTAGCGGTAGCTGTCGGAAAGGTGAAAAACATATATTTAATATTTGCGCCGGGTATTTAATGTTCGGCTCCGCCCGAACATAGACTTTCTTACTTGTTTTTATTAAAAAATAATTGTATCGACTTCTCGTAATCCTCATATTAAAGCCAAGAAAAAGTCATAAATGGTGCGATGATTAAGTTTGTTTTTTATTAAAATGCTTGTTTGCGCAGAAGCATGTATTAAAAAGTCCTTTTTGGCATGCTTAAAGTTCAAAAAAATATATCTCGGAAACTGTATGTGTCAAATGAAAATAAAAAAATACGAGTATCATATTTTTACCCAAAGAATGCAAAGAAAAATAATTTGAGCGGAAACAAATTTTTAGTGTAAATTTTGCATGGATTACTCACATATATAATACGCGAAGTCATTTTTTGTTCAGCATAAAAGATCTGCACCGATCGTTCGATTTTCAAAGGGGTGTCAAATTAAAGCGCTTGGTCTTTAGATGTGCAAGCTGGTTTTATTTTTTCGAAAAGAGTTGCCACCTGTTGAACAATTAAGATACAATTTTTCAATAATCAATACCATCAAATCCGTACCGTTTGTTTGATTTTCAAAAGTGAGGTGTCAAATTAAAGGGCTCGGGCTGTATATGTGCAGTAAGGTTTAATTTTTTTGAAAAGAGTTGCCACCTTTTAAAAATTTATCTATATTCAAATTATTTAAAAATATGTATCAATTATTAAAAATTAGTATTAATCGAAATGGTTCTGAAAAGCCTTGTTTTTTAACTTAACTATAGGAGGGTTGCCACCTGTTAAAAAAATAAAATTCAATTTGAATTAAGGGAAATTGGTAAGAGAGGTATGTATGTGTCACCATGTTGGTGCCAAACGAAATGGTTTTAAGAAGGTAATAGTTTGAACAAGGGCTTGAAATGTAGAAATAAGTTAACTTATACACAAATTATATGAAACATCAAAATATGAATGTGAGACGAAAGTATGTTAAGAAATCTTTATTTTCAACGCCAAGACTATTTTTGAGGTGATGGAAAAGTGTTGCCACCTGTATAAATAGCAGAATTCAAAGTATTTAATAAGTTAAATGAGTTATTAAAATCAATCATTATTTCTGATTCATATTTAGTGGGGTTGGCACATGTTTAAGAAATCAAACTAAACTTAATTTATCACTTGTTTAAAATATGTATAGCAATGTTAGACAAAGGAGCCTTAACAAGAGTTTAGCTTGAAAATACTTTTCAAGAGGGCTGCCATCTGTTTGAAAGGTTTAATTTAATTAACTAATGCCAAAATTTATGTGAATTATATAAATACGGGAGTCGAAACAAAGAGTGCTAAGAAATATTTAGTCTGAACATTTGGAACGTTTGAGAAGGGCTGCCACGTGTTTAAAAAGTTACATTCAAATTATTCAATAAGTTCGACGAATTATTAAAGGATGGGTATCAATCCAAATGGTTTTGAAAACTCTTTATTTCTGACCTTTTATTTAGGAGGGTTTCAACGTGTTTGAATAAACAAATTCAAATTAGTTCATCTGCTATTGAAACACACGTGTATCACAATGTCAGGCGAAAGAGCTTTAAGAAGATTTTAGTTTGAAATAACTTTTGAAAAGGACTTCCACCTGTTTGAAAAGTCGAATTTAGTTAACGTATACACACGTATTATGAAATATTTAGTTATGGGTGTAAATCGAAAGAAATTTACGAAGGCTTTAGTTTGAAAATATCTTTAGTTAGGCTGGCCAACTTTTCGAAAAAAAAACATATCGATCTAAAAGTATAGGTACATGGGCGTATCCAGGTAGGGCCCGAGGCCTCCCCCCCCGCACCCCCCCTCCCCTAAATTCCAAATTTTTTCATATATATTCAAAAATTATACCAGAAAATGCTATCTCGATATTTTTACGCAAAACTCCTTTCCGCGTTGGTAACCTTCAGCCACTGCAGTAGTTGTCATCTTATGTGGATAATTCTTGTCACAAATACATAGCTTCGTGCTTATATGTATGTATGTATATATGTATATTTTTTAGCAGTGCCACATCTTTATCAGAAAATTCAGAGAATCCAAAAAGTGGTACTATTACAAGTTGCAGGGCACCATTTTAACTCGACCTGCTCCCACTTCCACGGAAAACGGTACATCGCATAGAAGCTTAAAAATATTTTGCGTCAGCAATATTTCATCAAACTGCATTAGATCGTATCACGTACTCTACCCTCGGAAAGGCCGAAAACTTTATTTTCGAACCATTGCGCAGGTGTACCGAAATCTTGCAGTTTGGAACCGCGCAAGAATTTTCTTTTAATATTTTCATCCAACTTCACTAACTTCAAACTTTTTTTTTTACTTTTTCAAGCAGGGTTTGAAAATGCTGTAATATTTTTATTTAATTTGCTTTTGCTGCGCTTTGACTTCGGCATGTATGATATCGAAAGCAAAGCAAAAGCAATTAAGAAAAACACAAATGCTTTGGCTGCCGTTTTGCTATGAAATTTCGAAGCACAAAGACAGCGCAGCAGCAGCAAATCAACAGCAATTTGACTATACTATAAATTTGCTGCGAAGCATCGAATTGGCAGAAATAGAGGATATTATATGTATGTGTGCGCAAATCCACTAGTCGCTTACCCTGAAAAGCTTTGCATTGATGGCGGAGTTAATATGTACTTAGATACTATACCATGCTGCAAAAGCACAACACAGCCAAGCAGATAACAGCACAGCAAAAGCACTATCACAGCAAATCGAAAGCAATAAAATTGTTTACATAAACTGCCGATAAAAAAACAAAATAAACTTTTCAAAGTTACAGCAAAAGCAAAGCAGTTCGAATCAAAATCGAAAATTTCAAAGCTAAGCAAAAGCAAAAATAGTAATGCTGTTGCTGCTTTGCTGACAGCTTTTTAAACCCTGTTTTCAAGAAACAAAACTTTTGCCGCTTGTGAATCTGGTAGCATGTTTTCAGTTATATGTCATAAACATGTTAAAAGTCAAGTGGTCGGCAACATCAACCAATGTGAATAAATGAAACTACCTTCTATTTTTGTATGATGGGTGACGGCAGTCCGAGTGATACCTTAGATGTTACAAGAATACAAAACTTAGAGTTAATGTAAAAAATTTACCGTGCGTAGACCTTTGTTGCCCACATTATATGTAGCTAAATACGGTTACGTTGTTAACAGTTTCCCGAGTGTCTGCAGCAGTGTTGATTTTTGAGGTTTTTAAATTGTACAAAATTAACGACAAAAACTGTAACTTTTTGAGCTCAATTGTACTTTTCAGCATTTCCGTCAATGCACTACCTCCCGTTTTCCTTCAACTAAACATACACCTTTGTTTTTCTACTACAGAGAGTTTATCNTGTGCGCAAATCCACTAGTCGCTTACCCTGAAAAGCTTTGCATTGATGGCGGAGTTAATATGTACTTAGATACTATACCATGCTGCAAAAGCACAACACAGCCAAGCAGATAACAGCACAGCAAAAGCACTATCACAGCAAATCGAAAGCAATAAAATTGTTTACATAAACTGCCGATAAAAAAACAAAATAAACTTTTCAAAGTTACAGCAAAAGCAAAGCAGTTCGAATCAAAATCGAAAATTTCAAAGCTAAGCAAAAGCAAAAATAGTAATGCTGTTGCTGCTTTGCTGACAGCTTTTTAAACCCTGTTTTCAAGAAACAAAACTTTTGCCGCTTGTGAATCTGGTAGCATGTTTTCAGTTATATGTCATAAACATGTTAAAAGTCAAGTGGTCGGCAACATCAACCAATGTGAATAAATGAAACTACCTTCTATTTTTGTATGATGGGTGACGGCAGTCCGAGTGATACCTTAGATGTTACAAGAATACAAAACTTAGAGTTAATGTAAAAAATTTACCGTGCGTAGACCTTTGTTGCCCACATTATATGTAGCTAAATACGGTTACGTTGTTAACAGTTTCCCGAGTGTCTGCAGCAGTGTTGATTTTTGAGGTTTTTAAATTGTACAAAATTAACGACAAAAACTGTAACTTTTTGAGCTCAATTGTACTTTTCAGCATTTCCGTCAATGCACTACCTCCCGTTTTCCTTCAACTAAACATACACCTTTGTTTTTCTACTACAGAGAGTTTATCTTTCAGTTCATTGTACAGCTTAAGTTGGTATAGACTTAGGGCCGGTTGTTCAATGTCTGATTAGCACAAACTCCGGTTAAATACAACGACTGCTTTATCGATCACATGTTATATGCATGATGTCGAAAACGTCGATAATGATGTTTAACCGGCAAGTAGTGATAACCAGACATTGAACAACCGGCCCTTAATTTAACGTAACTTATCATTGACCAACTAACCCTTAAAGTCACAAATAAATTCTTAAATTATATTCCAAAAATTATATGTAAAAAAATAACAAAAACAAATAACTTAAGGACGAGCACACCTAAAAGTTAAACATTCTGATAATAGAAATATTAACAAAAACCAACAACCACATGATCAAGTGAATTGCAGCGGAATAGCTGAGCTTGATTGTAGTTAGATTAACAAGTGAAATAGAGGAAATAAGCAATAGGGGGGAAGACTTACAGGATCAGGAATACAGTGTATAGTTTGAAAAGCTCAAACAAACTTTTAAATAAAAATACTTCTGCAAATCGTGAAATTATTGCTATTAACTTTTAGAGCGCTGTTCTTGTGGAATATAATACAATTTTTTATCATAAATTGCCCTCATTTCAAACAATTTATTCTTAAAGACTACTAATATCAAACGAAGTTGTATATTCCAGTAACTATTTATATCGTAACAGAGAGAACAAATACTAAAAGAATTATTACAGAAAATCAAGCTGGACCGTCAAATCTGGGAAATGTAATGAGTCAAATTTTGCTCTGCAAACAAATAACACCCGACTTCAGTCAGGAAGAGTTGTATAGTATTACAAAGGACTCGCAAGAAATCGCAAGGCTGCTTACTGAAATGCAGGAATACATGCTACAGAATGAAGCTTATATTGGTAAGTAAGGCATATTCTAATACAAAAACATAATTGGGGTGTTCACAACGGTGTCATAAGTGTCATATTATACATGGTACCATATGAGTTATACATATTATGATATTTCCTACTGTTAAAAAATAGTGAATTGTGGTTTCACGTCCTTTAAACATTTATTTATCAAATTAAAACCGTTGTAAATGCCCCAAATATTTTCTTCCTCGTATTTATAAAAACCTACTTATGCACATCGTTATCTTAAACATTGCGTAACTTTGATACCCAAAATCATCTTAAAAGGTTTAACGGTCATTATGAGTGTTTACATACAGATTTATTTTTTGATTTAGAGTGTAAGCCCGCCCTGGACTCCAATGGATTGTGGCCTTTCAAGCGAAGGCGAAGTGTCATTTACAAAAACATCAGCTTACTCTGTTGCGTGTCAGGACCGAACTTATGAAGAAGAACAGGATCGAAGATGATTGACAATCAAATGGTATAGTTAAGGAGAAAAATAATCAGTGTTTCCGAAACATTTGCAGTACTAAGAATTATTTTAAACTTAAAAATTATTAAAATAAATTATTTTTTCCATAAATTGCAAACAGATGATTTTGATTAGCCGTTTTTCTTTCTGGAAAATTTCTGCTGGCAACAAATTTTTCAGCAAAAACTAGCAGCTTCTCATCAAAATGAAATGGTCAATTAATTTCCCCTACTGTGTTGGATTTTTGTGTACGCGAAACGCAAAAGCTGAAGCTTTTTGATCGAAGTCATCTGTTTGCAATTTATGAAAAAAATAATATATTTTGATGATTTTTAAGTTTAAAATAACTTCTTCGTACTGAAAATGTTTCGGAAGAAAGCAAATACTTGTATACTTAGAGTATTTTCAAACAAGCCCATTAGCTGAGGCAATTAAGCTTTAAACTGCGTCACTGAGTTTGGTGTTCACACTCATTCAATTAAATTGAAACAATTAGTGTTTGACAGCTGATACTGTTTTATTTTGCTTTTCAAAAATTTTGATCTAGTGCTGTTACCTATTCAATTTGCCTTGGTCTGAACAAAATGGAGAGATTTCCAACTTTAAATAAAATTTTATTGGTGTATAATATAAGAAAAAATAAACAGAAAAGTATTTATTTATTAAATATTTAAGACAAAAATAAATTTTTCTTGCAATTCGTTTTTTTATGGAACATACCCCAGCTCTTCTCATTAAACACACTTCACAGGGTTGCATGAGCAATTTTACGGCAATTTGCGGCCAATTAGTTACTAATTTCCAGCTAATTGTTTCAGTTTTTATAAGGCTAATTTTGTTGCAATTAGGGGTTTAATTGCTGAAATGCTCTCAATTAGCTAATTGGGTGCGTGTTTGAACATAGTATTACTTTTGCATAACAAATTGCTTTAGGTAAGCTTGTAATCTATATTCTTTTAATGTATGAAACCAAAATTTCGATATCTGTACTAAAACCTTGCAAGTTTTTGCTGGTTTTGCGTTCGCGTACTTTTGTAAATATTTCTCTCCTTGAGAGAAAAAAGATAAAAATTCATTTGAATTTTGCTGTTAGAATTTTTCTGCTAGAAGAATACGCGAATACACTTATAGTCACATAGCTTAGAAACAAAAGAACAGTATTAACAATGATTGCTTAGATAGTTGCATGTTCATGTTTGTAATTTCATGACACTGAAAGTCAAAAATTACCTTATTAATAAATGTCTAATTAAACTAATTGCATTATTTTTTGTTTAGATAGTATTCATGGAGAACTATCAATAGTATTACACGGGCAGCACTGATTTTGTTTCCTAAAGCCCTGTATGCAGCTCTCAAGAAAACGGTCAAGAAAAAATTGCCATTATTTCGCGTGTGTGTCCAAGGAATTTGACATTTTTGATACTTCACAGCCTGTTGCCTCACTCTTTCCTCAAGATATAATGGAACGGGCATATATTTCTGTTGCAAACCTGGGTTGCCTTGTGCTCTTTTTTCACAAAAAACTTTAGAAAACCGTAGTAGAAAGCGTAGTAAATTTCTTAAGAACTGCGTACTGCCTTAAGGAAATTTGACTCAAGAAAATTTNGGTTCATTCCTTATCTTTTTGGACTGAAAAGTGTCAAAATGCCAGAGCATAAGCAAAATGCGCTCACTAAAAGAGAATAACAGGAAAAGTAAAGGAACGCAAAAAACCAAATTTTTAGTCCAAAGAATGGCAACAACAAAACTAACGTCAAATAAGAATGGAAATGTATGTACAAAACACATTCACACAAGCACAAGCACAATAAACACTTGCTATATCAATTATTTTTTGCCTTCTTCCAATTTCAATTCATTTCTTTTACTTTTTAGATTATTCTCACTTTTTGCGTATTCTTTAATTTCCGTTAATTTAAATTCAGTTGAGTTTGACACTTTTCAGGATTTTGCCAGAAAAAATTCTTCTGACTACTTTGGACTGATGAGAGTCACTCTCACTGACTGTTGCTCTCTCATTTTTGCTGTCATTTCCGAGTTAAGGAACGCTTTTTGGACTAAATCTGACTACTTCGGACTTTTTCTGACTATTTCTGGGAGATAAGGAACGCTCCTATTTTATATGGAGTTTTTGCTTATCTTGAGAGCTGCATACAGGCCTTAACGCTGACGACACACAATCAGCTTTGCCTTTCAATTTCCTCACACACATTGCTTGTCAAAAATCATTACAATTGAAAGTCATTACGTAGGCTGCATTCAATTTGAGAAGCAATTTCATTATCAACATGTCGCCTTCAAGAAAACAATGTAACTAACTAGCTTCTGAAGAACATTTTCCATTTTAATTCCATTGTAGATTAACATTTTAACATTATTAACATTAACNACTGAAAAGCTGATCAAAATTGAAAGCAAAGTTGAAACTCATTTGAAAGGGAAAAATTGAAAGCAAGTTGCCCATTCAAGCAATAAATAAATATTAATGTTAATGTTAATAATGTTAAAATGTTAATCTACAATGGAATTAAAATGGAAAATGGTCTTCAGGCGCTAGTTAGTTACATTGTTTTCTTGAAGACGGCATGTTGATCATGAAATTGCTTCTCAAATTGAATGCAGCCTACCTAATGGCTTTCAATTTTTATGATTTTTGACAAGCAATGTGTGTGAGGAAATTGAAAGGCAAAACTGATTGTGTGTCGCCAGCGTTAGTGAAAAAGTGTGAGAGTATTGAACATTGAAAGGGGAAAATTGAATGTGTAACGGCCAGAGCTGGGTAAATGCAATTACATTACAATTACAATTACATTCCTCAGTAATTGTAATTAGGATTCAATTCCTTTAGTTCACAGCAAAGGAATCGATTACTTTTTCAATTCCTTGAAGTAATTTCAAATGGAATTGTTTTTTTCTTTAATTCCATTACAAGGAATTTCATATTGTAATTGGAATAAATTACGTGCTNGGCCCGGTAAAATGTTAAAGCTGTTTTTGATAGACTTTTTTGTGCTGATTACGTATCTGTAAGTAAAAAGTTTCCATCAGCTTTAGATTTTGAGAAAAACGTGGTAAAAGTATCAAAAAATCGCGTTTTTCGCAATATTTGAGAAGTCTAGCAAAAAAACAAAAGGTGATAGAACCTTCCACTTACACTCAAAAAAAAGTTGTCATCAGGATGATGCTATTTAGCCATCAACGTGAAACTTTCGAGTATCTAGTTTTCCTCATTAATCATCTTATTTAAATGATAGTTTTCGTTGTTACATTGAAATATTTTTCGTTATTATATTGAAACCAAAAATAACCAAAAGGACTGTATTGGTCTCAATTTGATATTGTTAAGGGTAAAACTTGTGTTTTTACTTATCAAATTAAAAACCAAAATACAAATCTAATATTTTTCAATACAATTTTTACATTATTAATGGTTATATTGATACCGAAAAATGGTACTGTTTAAAGTTTCATTTTAACACAACGTGTATTTAACCAATAGTGATGCTTTTTTTGAGTGTAGGCTTAAATTAAAGCTAGAACTCTCGACTACTATCCGAGAAAATACCATTCGCTCAACTTGACTTGATGGTCATTTATTGAACAATAACAAAATACTGGAGTATTGTGATATTGAAAGAAAGAAAACTGTGCCAAAATCCGTTTTTGCTGTTCAATAAATGACTATATGTGACCTTAAGGTCAAGGTCCAGGGACCGTTTTTTCAGGGATTGTGTTTGAAAGTTCAAGCCTTAATTTAAGTCTAAGTGGAAGGTTCTATCAACTTTTGTTTAATTGCGGTAGGTACTCATACTTCGCCAAAATCAGTTTTTGCTATTCAACAAATGACTATAAGTTACTATCAAGTCAAGGTGCACGAATGGTAGTAGAGGATAGTAGTCGAGAGAGTCGCTTTAATTTAAGCCCAAGTGGAAGGTTCTATCACCTTTTGCTTTTTTGCTAGAGCTTCTCAAATATTGCAAATATATTTTAGTATATATTTTTTTATTTCGCCGTGGGGAGGCGACATAAAACTGCAGGAACCCCCATTTATTTGACAACATCCAAACGCATTCGATAAAATTGGAGAAGCTGCTCTTTTAGCAGCGCACATTATGTGAAAAACATAAATGCGGAGAGGTACAGTAATCGTTATCCTAGACAGTTAAGACAGCGAAGACGAGGCATGTATGGACGGACGATGCACGGGAAGGGTGGTTTCGTTATTTGAAATAGGGTATCAAAGTCTAAAGCAGAACTAAAGAAACTTAATGTCGAATGTAAGGAAGATATGAACTAGAGCTGGAAAGCTATCGATGGTCGTGGCCATAGTCACAACCATCGATAGTATCGATACGATCGAAAATGTCGACACTATCGATAGTTTTGATTAAAAAAGTCCAAAAATTAAACACAACCACTTTTATTGAAAATGAATCGCAGAGTCGCTAAAATATGACGATATTTTTGTTAAGGAACAAAAGTTTATCAACGATTTTTGGCTTCAAGCAGCATATGCATGCATGTATGTATGTATGGGTGAAAAGGTGAAAACCAAGGCCGTATTTAGGATTTTAATGCACTAATAACTTGGAACAACGCAAAATGTGCTTTGAAAAAGGGCATATATTTTTTAATTTTGTTATGTACTTCCTTTATGTACAATGTGCATGTCCAATTAAAGATATTAAAGAATACATACAGTGATCAAGAAATTATAGCCGAACCACTTTTTGCCAAGTTTTAACGTATTATTTTCGTTGTTATTTAATTTTGGTTATTTTTTTTTTATAAAAATATATAGCTCATTCTTAAAAAAACCCGCTTGAATTCAAGTTTCCAAATTTGTGCAATATTAAAAAAAAACAACAAACTTTCGTACAAATTTCGATCTTTTTCAAAAATTCTAAAAAATAAATCTTAGTTTTTAGCCATTTGAAACTTGTACTTTATTCTATTTACTAGAAATCAATGGGCTACAAAACTGCATACTCAGAATCTAATTAAAAAACTCGAAGTTTTTACGAGAATTTGTTGAATTATTTTTTTTAATTGCATACATTTTTAAGGCAGTGGCACTCGATTGGTCCATTTGTACAGATTGGTACATTTTTTATATCCGGCTTATATTGGTACAAAACAAAAAAAAAGACATTTTTCTTTTTGTAGTCAAAATAGTTTCTTAAAGGATTCTGATGACAGAACAGTTTAAGCTTAAAAAATCTACACTGCCGGAACAAAGTATTGGCACAGCAAATTTTTCACAATATATGCAACAAAATTTTATTCGAATATTTTCCGCTAATTTCGTATAATAAATAATAATGGTCCATTCTACTACAAAAAACATAAAAATATAATTCCTAAACTTTGTGCAAAACTCGCGAAAATTCAGTGAATTTTCATGAAAATTTTCAACTTTTTAATCAGATTTTTTAGCATTTTTTTGAGTATGCAGATTTGTAGCCCAATCATTTTATCCTATACTTTTGAATTCCGTTTTTTCGAACATCAAATTTTAAAAATTAACCAGCAAATCGCTACTTTTCTAGAACATCAAAAAAAGTTTTATTTTTGATTTTCACTTTATTTTCATTCTACTACTTTTCTGTAACATGCCT